AAAAGGTTAAACCACTGCCGTCTAGGTGACATAATTCAACACCAGCAAAAGGGTCCCGAACGGACAATGCAGTGTCTTAGCGACTAAGTGGAGTGGTGGTAGGTTCCCTTGATCCGATTTTTGGAGTCTTAGCGTGATTTTGATACTGCTTCAGCGGTTCATCAAGTGTAAACAGAGGGTTATTATTACGCAATGTACTGTTCGCTTTGTTTGCGGTTTTGCTGTTTGCGTTTGTCCTCATCACCACGGATGTCTGCCATCTACTAATGGCTGAAAAGAATATTCCGTTGCTCGCGTTGATCATACTGTGATTTAAATTTTGGACGCTATCTGTTCCACTTTCCCCTCAGTCGAACTTAGACCAGTGTTCTTTACATCACCGGTGATGCGAATGCCAGTGAAAGACAAACTGCCGAAACTGATCTGTCAAGTGCGTCTGTGGCGCATGTTACATAGGTTGTATGACAAGGCATTTGCCTGACTTAACAGTCAGGGAAAGACTGGTTGTATCTGAAGCGCGATCGGGGAGCATTGTGTCGACACCGGACACAAGATCAAACCGGAGAAAGCTTTCGGTGTGGTTTATCGGATCCCAATCAATCGATCGAGGGCGACCGGAGTTTGGACACTGGCCATGGCCGAGGCGATCGCCAATCGCTTACCCAAGCCTAAACCTGTGTGCCCGAAAACGACTGGTGCAGGCGCTTCAGTTCCATTGGCCGGATGTGGAAACCAAGACAGATCATGACGTGTCACTTGACCCAAGTGGGGAAATGTCACATCAATTAACAGACTTACGCGCAGGGACAAACGCACACACACACTTCCGTTACTCTTTCCCTTCGATTACAGACCCTAACTTGAGCCAATGGCTATCATTATGTATGCATTTTCCACTATATGATATGTAAGAGCATGACTGTGAATATCCGAAAACAATTATTCGCTCACCGACTCGTTTTCTAGATACTATCATGGGAATATTCAAACTGTCTTTTCTACTCAGTCTGTTGCAAACCTTGACAGAAAATGCTCGTAATGATCTCATGTTGCATTTCCGGTCCCTCAGCGTGGTGAAACACATGACTCAGCAGATCCGCCTCGAACCGAAGCATTTTCTGCAATTGGCCAACTTCTTGGGGCAATTGGCCAACTGGTCGCAAAGGCTCATGGAGACGAATATTGATCTCTGTGTGTTTTGTCGAAATAATAATGAACCGTTTGATGTCTACACCAGTCACAAGGTGAGTATGTTTCTGCGGAAATTCTGGAAATTCCCTTTCCGGTTAGTTCGACGGATAGAATTTTTTCTGACTCCTTTCGAGTGTGTTCGGTATACATGCTATGGTGTTTTGTTGAACAATTGCACACTCCCCGAGGGTTCGTTTCCGTCGGTTTTTGATCGTCTGATGTGAGTTTGCCATGTATGCGTCCGTGTCAATATCTCGCTGTGTGCGCGTTGTCTGTAGTGTTTTCGTAGTGGAATACGGAAAACAACTTCCGATACACCACCGGACGTGGCTGTTTAAGTCCACTCCACTGTATAACGAGTTACTCATTTGGTGCTTTCCTCTCAACGAAATAATGACCAAGAATACAATCCACTGAACACTGCTTTGCTCCTTACACCCATTTACGTGACAACAAGCCTGACGACAAGCTGCTGGTGCTACCGATGGTGGTGATGGTTGTTTGCTGTTTGTTGACACTGTTGTAACAATTACACCGTTTTGGGGGTCGACCCTGTTTGAAGGTTGTTAAGTGGCCGTTTACGGAGTGTTTTGTGTGCCATAAACATTTTCCGTGTTCTCTGTTTTTTCTATCAGGGTGAACTTCGTGATATGGGCTGAACAACTGCGTTGGAGGGATCGCAGTTCAGAGCAGAATTTGATACGATTGTTGACATTAGTTATTGATTTATTTCAATACGTAACCAATTACAGAGAAGTGGCAAACGTGCCACAATATATGAACAAAAAGAAATCCGTGGAATGTGTTCATAGGTTGTGTGGGCATGTTACTTCCCGGTTACCCTAACCGAGGAAAGGGATAACCTCGGGGTCCTCACAAGAAGCCTTTGGCTAGAAAGGCAGACCTGCAAGACAACCAGATGAAGCTAAGAGTTCGGTGTCCAGTTCATCGGATCACGCCCTTTGGACGGGGTCAAACGTCCAAGGTGCCCAGTACACCTCGATGCCAATTGAACCGGTGACCACAACTGCCACAGCCAGGAAGGGGTGCATGTGGTTCGTGCTTCTCTTCTTGGTTTCTCTAGAATCAGGGTAATTAGCCAACTCCCCTAAGTGAACTGCCAATGGTTCACCAACCCGGTTATAGGCCCGTATGTTGGCTTTTCGTCCTCTCACTTTGGTGGGAAAACACCGCCACAAGAGGGCAGTGAGTAGGGCTTTTCTTCAACAGAAGCTGTTAGAGACGCTTGATTGTATGGAAGCGTTTGGTGAGATGCAACGGAAGGATGACCAGTTATAATCCTGGACATATACGTCCGACCATGCTGAGGCGTTTGGTGGCATACTGTGATGGTGGCTCGGCGTTAAAGTACCTGCCAATTGGGGCAAGTGTTACCATAAAAGTATTGCGGATCTCACTGAATCCACTCGCTATTCCCGTCTGTTAATGTTCCTGACGGATAACACATATGTTGTCCTTATGCTTATGTTTCACACTGGACAGCGCACTGCAGCGCTGCCCATGCAAAGGTGCGCGGCCCAGGAGCCGCTTGGTTGTTTCTTATGTACATACGTGTATTTAAACGATGGCTTTTCTATTCTGTATTTTCTACTATAAGGCTTGTTGCCGAGTGAGCGAGTCTTGCAAACCGAAAGACACTGTAAACCGCTGGAAAAGCCTGTTTGTGTCTCCGAACTTCATTTACAGACACCTAGTTGATAGCAAACTGTGGCGGATCTTCGCCTTTGATTTTGTACTTCGCTCTCTGTTTAGTGCCTCAATCTGTTGCGTAGATTTTGAGGTATATACGGGCTCGGTAGATCAATCAGAATGCGGCTTTACGGTATTTTACGCCACACTTGTCTGGCCTGGAACGTCCCCCATATATAGAGCCCAAAATATCTGTGTTGATCGTGCCGTGCTCTTGCATCTTTTGCACAACTCACCTGGGCCAGTTTTTTGCGATGGCGCCATCATCATTCTCGTCCAAATTGATCGTGGTTATCACTATCGTTGTTTGCAATTCCCAACTGTGTGATTTGACCTGTCATCAATTCAAATGGCTCTTGAGTCCTTCTCTGGCACTTGGACGTCTGCATAGTATGTGGGTGGTCTCATTCCGTTTGGGGCTTTCGTCTTCTGAATACAGGGGCTTAGTACTCGCCTCTTTATATCGTATTGGGGCTACTGAACTACGAGGAGTTTGCGGGCACAAAAAAATAATCGAGTTGCTCATCTGTTAGATCAACGTTGGAATCACAACCGACGCGACCACACTGTCTGATAGATAGGCAGAGTTGAAACGATGTGTGGTCAGTTCCAGCCGTAGGCTTAACTTTCGGTTCTGGTTTGATCCACCCCCCCCCCCACACACACACATTTAGGCTACACTACAGGTTGTGCTTGGAAAATTACTACATATGGTCATCACTATTCTTCACAGGTTTCATCGGCTCTGTGTCAA